AGCTAAATAAAAAAAAAGACTATCTACCGGTTTCCACTTTTAATAAGAGCAAAGTGAACTACAAAACGCCCACAAGATTTTTCATTTCCCGGTGTAACAGCAAAGACCGTTGCAAGAAGAAAGTCCTAATCCTCCAGTGAAATATTAGAATTACAGGAACGAGATTCCAATGCATTTGTGCAACCTGTCCAAAGGTTCCAATTTATGAATCGTCGATAATAAAATGGCGTGCAAGATATGGCCCTCGTGACTCGGCCAACAGTGAATAAATTCACCCAATTACTGGGCCGTTGGCGAGGGTCTCGGGGCAACGGAATGCAAGTCTTGGCGAGCAGAATGCCGTCGAGATTCGCGCGACCAGCTCGCGATCCAAAGGGGAGCAAAGTCTGAATAGCTCGTGGTCTCGCGCGTTAAGAGGTCCTATGGTCGAGACGGTGTACGCGGCGTGAACATGGTTCGCGCCGTGGCGAGAGAAGCGCATTCTCGATCGTGGGACGCGAAATGCGGCCGGATGTTTGTCGCACGCCCAATCAGCGCCAATTCAAGCTTCTCTCCTCTCCTCTGCCTTGCATCGGCGCTAAGCTCCGTGGCTGCAGCAGACGCATCGTCCCTTCCTTTCGACCGAGCCCGCTTCGGCCACGCGCGCCTTTCGCATGACGCATACGCCCGAGGCTGCGTTTACCCGCCTTACATGATAATGAAATCAAAATTTTCAAAATCTCCGACAAGAAAGAAATTCGAATCATCATTTTCAGATACGGGATGATTATTGAAACCGTGTGGAAATAATTGAACCGATTTTGGACCAAATATGCCTGATATCCTTGCCGGAAATGTACACTTTTAAATACAATAATCGGATCACCCGTCGATGAGCTACGGAGCCTATAGCCCTTCCTTTTTGCGTTCGGGGTTAAAAATTGATAATGTTTCGGCTCTTTGCTTTGGGTTACTTCTGGTTGGTAGTAGTGTGCGGTGGTGGTTTTGAGAAATTTAAGAAATACAGTAGTACCTAGATTAACACTAGAATTACCAGCACCGAGTGTATGAGAAGTTACATTGTGTAATATATTCATATGTTTAATATATAATGCAATATTGCTTAGTATACTATTACACTTTATATTAAAAGTGTATAAGAAATTAGAGAATCTCGTGTTGGATCACCTCGCCCACGAGTTCCCAAAAAAGGCGAAACGAAACAGGAACGAACAGCGTGCTCCGATCGCGATAAGGGGCTATAAATCATCCGTGCCTTTAGGAGGCGTCGTAAACTCTCAGACTCCCAGCGAACAACCGGTCGATCGGCTATCGATCCGAGCTAATAAACAGTACAACACACCGTAGCATCGCGCGAGACAATTAAGAAGCCTGAGTCACCCCCGGCCGGTTGGATTGCGAGCTTCATTCCGTACGTGACACACGGTGTGTGATTCAGAGTATCCGTGGTGGTTCGGGCCGAGACTCTGCCCGGAAGGCAATAGGAACGGATCCGTAGCCGGGCCACGCCGATGTGAAATTACATGTCAATGTCCACGCGAGAGAGTATTAGGTTTCGTGATTGACGACGGTTTACACCGAGCCTACAATTGCTTGCAGAACGGCCATAGGTTATCTATTAAGATTGATCCATGTCGGGAGCCGGGGCACTGTATCAATTAACAGAAAGGTGGGTGCACGCTACGGATCCGAGTGGGGCGAAGGTAATCAATCATTGGGATTTCGAAGATACCGTCCTGATCCAGTCCAAACTATCTATCTGATCTAAAATCCTAGTCAGAGAGTCGTACAGATTCGAGACAACTGTGTTCAATTCTTTGATCTTACTCAGATTTTTACAATCAAAAAATCAAAAATGTACGATAAAATGATTGAACACATTGCAGGGATTCCTTGGAGCTAACTAAAAATTTCAGACCATTTCCGCAGATTCTATGTTCGACTGAAAACTATTACGCAAGTATCTAACACGAATTCCAACGTCGTTACGTGAAATCCAGTCCGCGAAACGACACACACCGCCGAGGAAGGCGCCACGATTCCAGACGCTGGTACGCGTGTGTCACGATCATTAGCAAACACGTCCAGCCGCGTAATTAACTTCAAATCCTGGCCAGGAACTCTCCATCGCGTTGGTCGGTATATTACCGCGAAATTAAGATATAGGTCCCCGAGGAAACCGCGCGCAGTCAAACAACTGCCAGCAACAATTTCGCGCAACGTAATTACGCCCCACCACGAAATAACGCTGGATTTCCAAGCCGGAAGGGCGAACATACTCTTTCACCCTCTCTGTCTTTCCCACGAGTCCTGGGTTTGCTCGCGCAATCGACGATGAGGGAGGAAAGCATTTTCTCTCTCTCTCCACCACGGAGAGTGCTGCTTTCTCTGGTTATCCGACCGAGCGAGATTGGGTCCATATCGAGCCGAGACGAACGCCTCCGTTCGGTCCGTGGGGTTATTCGTCTTCTCTAATTAACTGTGGACCTAGACCAGCCTGTAGTACACCGGGATATACCGAATGCACTTGGGAGGGGAGGGAAGATCGAGGTAAATTAGAATTGGACCGACCGGTTGCATCCCCCGAAATATTACGTCCGTCGACCCCAAACGTCTCTATCTGCCAGCTTGTCCCATCGAGCTGGTCAATTCCAAGTTTAACAAGATGTTGGTCTCTTGTGTATATAATATGATTCTTACAATATTGGTAAAGTCGCGCAATCTGTTCCGTCTTTTGCACATGCGTTTTATCTGCTTTCATAAAAGAGGAAGTGGTCCAAATACAGGCTAGGGTCTAAATGTGGGCTAGTTGAAAGTACACGGTCATTTTAGATGCTTCACCATAATGGGAATAGTGCGGAACTATGACTCAAGAAAAGGGAGAAGCTTATTTTAACTGTACAGTAAATCCACGATGAGTATTTGAGGGCTCCTAGGCATTAACAGGGAGAGGACCCCAGGTGTAACGCTGACTTGTTAACGAGGTTTAGCAGAGTGATAGAGTTTGGAATTCTGAAGACAATGATATTTGTTTCAGTCGCATATGACCATTAGTTTATAAAATATTTAATGTTTAGTGCCATCGAATTTACTCACCAAGGATTTACTGTATATCATAATGCAAACATATTTTAGATACATTGAAATGTTAGATCTTGAACATCCTCGACATTTTGGACAGCAAGTCTTCTGAAGAAAAAGTGCTAGTCCATATTTATACCACTTCCTCTGATTATTAATTTTCACACGAGTATCGAATCGGTGAATCGCGGAATCGGTGGAGATCAAAAGGTCGCGAAATTTCGTATCAACGTGCGCGGGGTTCGCGGCAGGTGAGCAATTTAATTACAGACGTCCCGCTGAAATTTATGATCAATCGCGGAGGGGGCGCGAAGCCAAACGGCGGTTCCGCAAGCGTGGCTGTGGACTTTCACTTATTTGCGAATAGATTGCGTGTTTGTCGATATGATGATGGGTGATTTCCCTCCATCGTCACGTTCGCCTCTCTCGTGGCGAATCGGAGAGATCCGGTCGCGTGAAATTCGGGGCTGACTCGGTGATTTCGATCGAGAACACCCACAGAATCGCGGAGAGTTTCGCCCGGAGTCTGATAATCTTCGATAATCCGTCCGTGGAATCGCGAGAATTGGAAGTCACGAGATTGGCGAGGAATAAATCAAAGGAAAGTTTCACAGTGTACAGCACGGAGCGATTGAACGGCGATCGGTAGATAGCCGCGTGAAAATGCGAAATGAAGATCTAGCGCGTGAGTTTGCCATCGAATTTTTCGGTATTCCCAGAGAATGAAGTAAAATATACGAGGGGAAGTTCAAGGTAGCAGGTTAAAAAATGTCGCGAATATCGGGGCTCGTTAATCTGACCGCGGAATTTCATGCCGGCCAGTAATAAAACTACGTTTGCCACGCACGGAACGGCCTGTTACGCGTTAATCGATGGAGGAAACGTATGGGACAAAGACTTTTGCTAATTGCACCGCGGAAATTTATCAGCCTGATATGAGATCGAACGTTTCAGGCAACCTGCGATAAGGAAATGTACCTCTGAGTATTTCTGGCAAAAAAACTGAATGGATTGAGAATAAAATTCTCCCTTGGGTAGTCGACCAATAAATCATATTACATTAATATGAAATTAGTTCTGCATATTTACGTACATGATTTATGTATGTAAGAGTTCTTCGGTACCCTTATACAGTTCTAAACTCATCATACCGTAAAATATTTTAATAAATATTTCATACCTTTCACCTTATAGTGAGATTCCCTATATTAGCCAGTGAAGTAGTACAGAGGACATACACCTAAAGTCAAAGACATCTGATATAATTCAATTATAAACTCTACGTCTGACCTATCCATCAAGATCAGTTGTTCAGGTCTAAATAAAAAATGGTAATGTCAACACTCGAGTGGCATGGCAATCGATGGATTAACATTAACCATCGGACAACGGTGTCTGACACAAGTTGACTGCCACAATGAAAAAAGTCGTACGTGGTCAGACACACAGACGAATACGGATGTACAAGGTGTCCCACCTAACTTGAGTACCTTTAGTATCTCACTTGCTTTTAATTTACAGAAAATTACTTTCAACTTCGACACATTTTTGCACTAATCCCATTATTGTATTTATTTTATTATTTAAATCTACTCTGATACATCTGTAGATTTTTCTTACTCAAGGTCACACCGTTATAGGCCATTGGATTAGTCTTGATCTCAACTATTACACCACGCTGATAAAAATTGTAGTCCCATTTAAAAAAAAAAATGACCTTGAAATTTCGAAAAATATAATCCTACCATTGGATTTATATATTTTCACCATCTGACATTTTTCCTATCATAAAAAATCGAGATATTTAGGATGCTCAATTTAGGTAGGACAACCTGCCCTGGGGCCTAAAGAAGGGCGAATAATTTTCTGAAGCAAGTCAACAAAGAAAAAAAAAATAACCAAATCGGTATTGAACTCACCTGGCCAATGGACTACTGATGATGTAGTGGGTGTAGTAGAATATACTGGCGACGGAGACGAGTAGTAGCGCCGCGACGCATCGCTTCACCGTGGCCTGCTTAACGACGCAGCGGGGACCGACGGCGCTTAGTAAAGGAACGCCAGCCTCGACCGCGGAAATCTTCATCACCATCGTCTAATCCGATGGGCGTCCGATGCCTCCTCAGATTAGCCCCCCTTCCTCTTTCTTTCGATCTTTCTCTCAGCCCGTGCTAGCGTGGCACGGACCGTTCGGAGAATCGAATCGCACCGACGACGCCAAGAACACTCCGTGACTCCTCGAAAGTTTCCTTCGCCGGGCATCGGCTCTGCTCATCGTCAGGGGGGGGGGAGAGGATGGATATCGTTTCGTTTTTAAAAGATCGCGTCGTCCCTCTTCACCCTCGACCGAGGATGAAAGAAGGCCTCGTTGGAACTAAAGAACTCCGCCCCGTTCGAGTCGGATCGATCAGTCAAACAAGAAGAAGGTTTCGTTCGATTCGGTCTCTCCGCCGGACAGTTCTCTCGCGTCGTGATCTTCGTCTCGGCGGGATTCTCCCGGTGATCGATTCGCAAGGTATATGGAGATTCTAAGTTCAGTGTTCTTGTCAGAACCTGGATTGGAGGCCTCCGATCACTTTGGGAACGCGGCTATTCTCGATCCTCTCAGATCGAAGAATACGAGCCCTGGATCGAATCCCCTGTCCCGTCGTCTCGCGGATAACATCGATGATGGCTCAGGAATAAGGAGCGGATCGCCACTTGTTGCGTTTCCAGGAGGGCACCACGATCGACATCTCGCGAGCAGCACGGAGTCGCGCCGTCCATCGCCGATCGTTCTTTTTAACCCATTTGGGCGGAATTGTGATCGGATAGGATCCACCGTTGATCTCTTAGTAGCGGTTGCCACGAACCGTCGACATCCTTTTCAGACAAATATCGATCGAGCCGATCGATGGATCTCGTTCGAGACCATGTGAATCGAGAGAACTCGAAGGGAACGTCGATAAAGCGGAATTTTATATTCGTCCAGCTGAAACTGTGTCTGACGAATCTACCTTAGCCGCGCGTCACGGTGGTCCGGTGTCTACTTCCGGTTCCACGATAAGTTCTGGTTTTACGGTTGGACCGTTTGTTATGGTGCACGACTGGCCCAAGAAACCAGAGTTTGGCTACTAGACTCTAGCAAGCAAACCGACTCACTCGTAAATTTCGAACCGTGCTTCCACTCTCTCTCTCTCTCTCTCTTTCTTTTTCTTCGTTGCTTCGTTCACCGACTTTGCCTTCTTCCTTCACTCCCCTGCCACCAACAGTCGCGCGATCCCTCCTATCCCCCTTCTTTCCTCTTGATATACGCGAATCGTTCCACCTCTCCCCGCGGTACAGTCACCCTTTCCACCTGTCAATTAGGAACGATGTAAAGCTACGATGCTCCGTGTCTTCCAGAACGATTTTCGAACGTTATCCCCTGTATCGGCTGTATCGATCTGGTCCCGCGGCGTCGGTTGGATACTTGGTTTACGGGACCTGAAACAGTCAACGTGGAATGCGAATTGAGCGAAGGGTGCGAGCCGAATGCGACAATCGTCGTGCGTGGGAGGGGATAAAGTGATCGATTGGACAGAATTAAGCGGCCCGTATATCTCTCTGAGGAGCCTTAAGGACTAAGGACGTAATACTTAAGTGTAATAAATTTTAATTATTGAACATGCATTCCCTTCGGTTCTTCGTCGACAGATTTTTTAGTAGACCTTTATTTTATACTATAATATTTGATATATTACTGTATCAAGATACTCTGAATCTTAGTGGATTCAGTTAACCTTGCTGGACTCGCGTGATTTTTCAGTGCATTGTGAATTGTGTCGATTTCTCACACTCATTTTTAAATGTTCGAAATATAGTATTTATTACGTATAGTTTCATATATTCCATTTTTAACATTTATTTATTGAGTCTAGGAAGGTTAAGGTTTCAATTCTTCGTTTGTAAGGCATAGAGTATGTAATGTTTGGTAATGTACAAAGTACAGAATCCAAACTTCAAGACATCGAATATCTAGAGTAGACAGTAGAGAATTGTGACGAAAGGATTGAATCTGAGTTATAAGTCAAAGAGTCGAGGATACACCTGTTACAGCAGTAAGTGTACTAAAAACCATTAAAAATACAACATAAGCAAAGGGGGAGCAAAGAAAAGGGAATCTGAACAGAATATCAAAACAGTTACCAGATTCCATATACACGTATCTCCCCTCAAATCTACCTCATAAAGTCTAACAAAACCAGCAGAGGAGGGAAATAAATCCAGCAACGACTCGACATAATTGACGAATCGATCGTCCGGCCGAGCCAAGCATCCCAGAACTCCCCATCAAAAAACGATTAAACAACGACAAGCATCTTTAATTTTCTTTTACCGTCGGTTGTACAACGTTCGCAGCAAGAAGTCCATTAATCAACTTCCGCGGAACCCCGCAAACGATACAAACCCATTGTCCCTCTTCTGGCGGGGATTCGCTCCTGAGCGCTCGACTCTATCTGTATCGTTTCGAAAAGAGTCCTCGCGAGCTGTCGAGAGGACCGAGTGTCGCGGAAAACCCGTTAAAATAAATTGAAAATGATCCAACGTGAAGGATGGCGTGGAACGGGGAGAATCAACGGCAAGAAGGTTCTCTCTACGGGAAGAATATCACCCTCCATTCGATTATTCGCGTCTCCTGGGAGCTGACCTAACATTTTTCTATGAAAGAGAAAGACGATACCGATATTTTCCACCCCCCCACCTCACCTGGCGACTCGATTCCCGCGAATGGCAGACGGAATGAACGATCTGTGAAAAAGAGTCGTTCGCGACGGGAGATCGCGGAAATTTAATTACACCACCGTCGGAAGAAGTACTACCTGACGATGAACTTCACCGATACCAAACCCGTTTTCCGTGGATGGTCGCTCCCGACAAATCTGTTTTAATCCGCACCGAGCGCGAGGGAACACGCCGTGCGAGTGATAAGACGAGGAAAACGATAGTTTCGATCGAGCAAGTAGAACAGAGAAAATTTTGCATTTACATTGCTGCTCGTGTCTAATTACTTGGAACTTCGATCACAGCGATGTGCCACCATCTAGAGCCATGTTCCGTGATCTAATTGCACGTGCTCTGCTCGTCGATCGCGCGAGATCAAGCCTACCGACACGGATGATCCTTGAATTCTGAGCAGTAGCGGACGCGACTGGTGGACTTTTATGGTATAATAAGCCGGCTGAGGGAAGGCATTAGCGACGAGGACGTAGCTCAACGATGCGTTGTAATGCTGGTTATATAATAACCTTAGCATCTTAACACTTTGACTGCCACGTCGGCCAAATATGGGTAACGCGTACATCGCAAAGAGGTTGGAGCATTTAAATACCGTAGCAAAATTTTTCTGTAAAATTAAATGTTTAAGAATAACACAATTCTACTGTAATACTTGTCCCTCTAAACCTGGCATACATGTTTGGGGTTGCTCTGAATACCCACACACTTTCAAAAATGATAAAAACTAAATCTTTATACTGTTATACAAGAATAGAATAACTACTATTGTCTAACAAAATCTTGAATAGTATTAAACAAAATATTTTGTACTCAACATATAAATATTTAACGTTTCGCTCCGTAACCTCGCTTGATCAAAAAAATATATTTAGTTGAAAAAGATCTCGACCGCAACGGGTAAAAATTTATCACCGATTATACCGACAGTCCTGTACGCTTCAGTACAGAAACATTCTCACTCATCCATCTCTCCCGTATAAAATCACCAACTAGCTACTGTAAACAATCCTCCAGTCCGCCAGCCTACAATCGCGAGAGATCGCATAAAGGGATCCAGCGAAGGAATGGTCCCTCTGGTTTCGGAACGGCGACGTCGCACGACGGCTAAAAATTTCCCCTGGACAAATATATTTCGTTATCTGAATTATTCATCGCGTCCGGGTAATTCCGAATCCCCTCGAAATCTACCGTCGCGAGCACTGTGCTTAATTCAAGAGACACGTTTTGGCTCCCCGAGTGGGTCGTTAGTCGGATGCATCACGTGCGCGCGGATTTAAAGGGCGATGCTCAGGCAGTAGAAACGCGGGCCCACCGGTTGGATCGCGTTCAGGGACTACTCGATCGCCCGCGAAATCATTACGCGAAGGTTCCCTGATTATTCCTCCGAATGAACCAATCTTTCTTCTGTCGACCCGCGCGCGCATTCGCTCGCCCCACTCCCTGAACCGCGTGGAATCTTGGCGAAAGCGTTTGTCTGCCCGTCGTTGGATCCACGGATCCAATTTCATCCAGAGGAGATCCCCTTCCCCTTTCCTCTGACCCCCACCCCACCTGGTTACTCGTCCTTCCGCGGGTATATTTACAGGCATCTCGATGCACTCCAATGGCGTTTTAATCTGGCAAATGCATTCCGCGCTAACCCTCTCCACTTTCCGCGAACTTTTCCCAGCCGGAGCTGATCCATCGTGCAACGGGAAGGTGGGGGAGAACGTACGATTTTTTTCGGCGGACCAGGCGTTCATTAACCACTACCGGAATTTTTCAGGCTGGAAAAGATCCAGCGGGAAATAATAGGGTGTCTGATAGGGTCCGTTGAGATGCACGAAGATTTTATGGAGCTTTTTGTTAATCGGTATGTTGGTATCTTCGATTTGATATACAGTGATTTGCAAGTTTGTTCGCGGAAGGCTGTCATTTATGTATGACCAAATTTACATACAGAAATACGAATTTTATTTCAATATTCGTAGTACCTAGTTGTATGTTAATAAAGAAGTTTAGCATACCGAACGAGTGACCCAGCCTTCGTAATACAAGGGTGAACATATGCGTTATGGAAGAGTTAAACAATTATTTTATCTTACATCTATTTCTGTAGAAGAAACTTTTAATTAAAACTCGTTGCTAAGTATGTCTGATCGCTGGACGGTTAAATCTACTAACTTATTTCTCTGTCGATTACTGTCCCTTCTATCGATCTGTGGGAACGTCTAGTTCGTCCCAAACAATTTCAGAGGCCACGATAAATCTTTGTTTCGGTCGAAACCGTGACAACTTTTCCCCATCCGATCCCGAAGACACGAGGGGGATGGGGGCTCGCGCGAAAGAGTATTTCCGAACGATTTCCCGCTGTCACCGCTATTTCTCACCGTGTGATCAGGGCTTTCCGGTTATTCCGTCACGAGACACAGAGCCCCGAGATCAGCATTGACTCCCTGGAGGACGTCTTTATTGC